CCCCAAAACCCCAAAACCCCAAAACCCCATGTATATAGATATGAATTGAAAGTGTGTTAATATTTAAATTGCTTTTATTAAAGATTATATGCTTAGTAATATTGTGAAAAATATCAATGCAGAGTTGAAAGGTAATATCAATATTTATTCTCATGATCATTTTAGTACAAATGTCAAGAGCAGTAAATAATTTCAAACCTAAAATGATAAGATTCCAAGTTAAAACATAATAATCTCCTCAAATCTTATGAGCCTTAACGCAACTCTGACAGAAGATATAATAAGTGTCATAATCAATATAGAGATATTCAAATGGATCATCATGAACTTTGCCAATGTTGCATGATATAAATTATCTTGCATCACAACCCCAAGCAGAATATTCTTTCTCTGATTTCCTTAGTTCACCGAAAGTTACTAGCTTCAATTCATGCTAATGTACTTCATATCGACCATTACATTTAACACAAAGATCGAAGTTGCAATCAGCACAGTGATAAATTTGTTCATTTTCAACTGATCTAAATTCATTTGCTGTGTATCCACTCAAGCACCCACTGTAATACCTACTGAAACAAACCCATTTATAGCTGTCATATCTAATTCTTTCTCTAAACTAATAAAGAGTTGTTTTAGTTAGTAATTTTTTATACATTCTGATTCTAACTTTCTCCTCAGGTTATTAAGAAAATATTAAGAGCTTTATTTCTCCCATTTTCATTTTTAGTTCTAATTCAGATGCATTTTGTGATTCTAAAGCCTTTTGATTTCTTTATTCTTGAAGCTTGATTTCTTCTCTTAAAGTTGTCTTTATCTAGCTTACTTCATTTTTAATTTCTTAGAATTTTTAGTCCAATGGATCCTTGAAGTCTTTCAATTTCTCTAAGTCATATCCAACTAGAAGATATACATTCTACTCTGCATATTTTTGTCTCGTTCTTTTTGGAATAAGATAATGATTTTCTGAGATAAGGGATGCCATTTCTTGATAACTTGCCTATTCTTAATTTTCATTGACTCTCTCAAAAGTGCTAGATATGATAGCAATAAGTAAATTAAGCATGACAATCATATCGAGGATGGTACAAAGAACCCAAAATATCCAAACAAGAGGCACAGCAACATCCCCAAAAGCCTCGGTATCATATCCACCCAAAATCATAGAATAAGCAAAAAGAACTGCGGGGACAAATGAAGTTGTGAATTAATTTTCTTCCTCATTCCCCCATGCTATTCTTAGAAAAGAGTCTCCAAAAGCAGCTACAGTAATTAGTAGCACAAACAAGAATATTCCCATATCATAGATAACCTAAACTATCATTCTGATCAAGTATCCAGTACTCTTAAATATTCTTAGAGTAGAAAGGAATTTTAACCACATTAAAAATGTAGAAATAGCTAAAACGCATCTATTGAAGTCTTAATTTATTTCTATTTGTTTAAACTCAGCAAATTAGATTCCATGTAAAATAGCCACACCAGCAGGAGCTAATATATCTATATAATTCCATACTGAGTATAGATACTAAAGTCCAAGGTTGTATACTTATCTCATCTCATTAAACAAAAAGTAAGCGCACATTATGACTTAATAAATAGCCAAAATATAATTTACTGTTTCATATACCAAACTTTCTGTTCTTTTTTCATACACAACATTCATATAGACTACAAAAGTAATGTGGAATACAGTAAAGGGAATTATAAGGAGCAAGAGCAAAAAATTTCTTACAACTGGAAAATTAAAATCAATCAAGCACTTTATAGCCTTATTTTCAAAGATTAAATATGACTCTGTTGATGATAAAGCTTTGAAAATTTCAATGAAATCTGGGTCAAGATAATGATAAGCACCTGGTATGTCAAGAAGTTCAATTCTAATCTTGGCTTCAGATTTAACATCCTTAAGCATCTTTTACTGGACCTGTTGCTCTTACATACACAGACTTGTGGTTATGATCTCATTTTTAATCTAGCCCTTATCAAATTTTTCCATCGCCTATGTCTATTAGAATCTCGTGTCTAAATAATCTAAGAATTCAGGTAATTCCTATTCAACCATTATATATAGAGATCCTTTGATAGCCTTTGAATGATGATCAATAGGATATAGACCTAAATACT